ATATATATATATATATACAGTAAGTATGTGTTCTTCGACTATCATGATATAAGTTCACATTAACCGGAAGTATCACTGCAATCAGACTTATTGAGGTTACGATCGGCAAGGATATGATGGCTGAATGGCTGGCTAATTGACAGATTGAATTGGATTATCAGTTTCCACTTTGTTTTTCTCTTTTACTGCAACGTCAATTTGACTGTAAAATCGCTGCAATAACATCTTTTTCTTCTTCATTTTGATCGCCATCTGACAGATCTTCATACATTCATTTATACATATTCATAATTACTTATATTCCTCATACTTTCATAACAACTCATTAAAATCAAACCTTTTGTGCAGTCTGTTTTTGAAATAAGATGAATGTAACGACTCGTCCTCGTCATACTTAATATTTATCTCATGCAGCAATTTGAAATGTTCCTCTAACATCAGCGCTTCGTCTTACCAGTTCGCTGTTCGCTCATTTGTTGGCTTCACTAAATACTGGTCATGGTTTTTTTGTTCAAAATGCCAACCTGTAGTTCTTTTTTTTTGTTGAAGAAAACGATAAAGAATATGTACAAGTGCATGTGATAATAGAGGATAACGTGTCACTAAAGCATGCAAACCAATGCTATTATTATATGTATGCAGACATATTTATAAGAAATACACAAAAATTTCACACAACTGAAAAATTATTTCAGCGAGTAACATTATCTATGTGATTTCCAACATTTATAATATTGTTAAAAAAAGGTTGATCGATGCGCTTATACGACGAAATGTTCATGAAAATTTCATTCTTCGGAAATAAATATATACGTTTTTAAAAAAAGAGGGGGGGGGGGGGNGAGAGAGACGGGGTGAGAGATACGAAGTGTCCAGACTTTAGTGAGATATTATGCATAAAATAAAAACAAATTTTATGATAAGATTCAACAGCATCCCTTAATTCAAGTGCTCTTCTTGCCTACCTAACAATCAATCGAATTTAGTTAGCTATCAACCGATCAATTCAACAATCAATTGGAATATCTACCGATGGGATGTGCGCCTAGTTTGCGCACCGATACCACCGACTCGACTCATTCTGACAGAGAATCTGACGATGATGATCAAGAATTGATAGCATCCTCAATTCCAGTACAAATTGATGCCGCAATTACCAGTACTCCTAACTGTGACCTTCATCGACATAAAATCATTTTCTTTTTTGGTATGTCAGCTAAACATTGACAAATCCACCACATATTTATATAATAAACAAAAACATTCATACTACTACTATTATCAGTATATATTATTACCACATGCAAGCTATTCGAATATTGATTTTTCTCAATGCTTCAGGTGGTCCGGGCAGTCAAAAAGGTGTTTTAATTGAAGAAATGGTAAAAGAATTCAACTTTGTTTTAATAAATGTCGAGGATGTTGTCTTCAATTATTTACCAAATAAATTAGCGAATACAATCGAAAATTCGGTTCAGATTCAAGACTTATTAAAGGTATCTTCGTTATCACTACCTACTACTATTACAGTCAATAAGTGTAGCGTAGTAATTGAATAATTGCAGCGTGATCGTAAATTGTTAACAGTCGAATGGGTTCTATCAGTGATGAGTGCTAAACTTTCGACAAGTATACATGAACGTTTTGTTATTGACATAATACCATCATTAACAAGTTTTCTTCGAAGTGATTCTTTTTGCGATTTAAATCAGGATAAAAACCTTCAGAATTTCGAAAGTCAAGTTAGTTCTTATTACAGTAATAAAAATAATCGTAATACTATTGATAATAATAACAATTATTATTGCTGTTATTATATTGATAATCATAGCAACAATAAATAATAATAATATCATGATAATAATGAACCATTCTTACAGCATCCAATAATGTGTGCGCTTCAAATAAACGTCACTGATGAGCTTAACACATTACTGAATGACACCTCAACAAACAATAATCAAAACTGCCCAGAAAAAAGTAAAGAAAAAGAATTAAGTCCCGAGTTAAGTGCCTTCATACGCGGAGTGGATGAGGCTGATAAAGGCCGTTTTGAGGTTATTACTCGTTTCATTCCCAAAATACTCCAAATCAAAGACTTATTATAATTACAACAATGAGTGCTATTATCAGAAACGCATTGATGCTTACCACCGTTGCTCATCTCCATTTCTAAACTATTTCAAACGCTCACGTCGAATTGCTCGAATGGATATCAGCACACTAACTAAACCTCGTCATGCGATTAACGCTCTTCATGATCTCTTTCATCAACTCGGCTTGTCAAACGCCAATCAATCCATACGTGCCGTTCTATTTGTTTATAGTGAATTTATCATTCTATTTTACTTCACTTTTCATTCATTCATATTCAACAATAACAATCAACGTTATCATCACCGATTAATAATATTATTTTCTTTAGTCTAGTAGCATTTATTGAATATTCAATCCAGTCGCATCATTCACTAATTTTGACCCAGTGTATTATCAACCGTTAATTTCAGATGAACTTTTTCAGTGATATTATCATTAATGAACTAGTTCACGGATCCAATCATGCTACAAGCGTATCATATACCATTATTGTTACCACCACCCTTACTAGTATTATCGTAACGATAAGATACTTCAGATGAACGTCAACTGGGTGTGGACTTTGATGCGTATCGCGTCAAAAAAATACGACTCAGCGATTTTGCAACAGAAACATCGCAAACATTCGTAAATACCTTCCTATTAGTTATACCATACTGTTATTATTAGCACTGCCAATAAGAGCAATACGTTCGATGATGCATTGCAGAAAGTTAAATTGCTTGAAACAAATTATTGCGCAAAAGCAATTCTCAAAATCTTCAAAAGCTGAACTCAGCAATTTACAGTCGTCAAAATTAGGCGCGTTGAGACGTTATATAAATAAATCTTCGCGAGCAACTGACAACTATCTGGTTTTACTCGATTGCATCAATGATGGTAACGAATCGGTAAGTTATACTTTTACAAACAACAACATTATTAGTAGTAATTGGTATTTTCATTGATATTATCATTTTTTAAAATTAAAACCACTGGTAAAATGAGCCAGGAAAAATAAAATGAAAACGATTCGAAGAAAAAGAGACCGCAGAATGCGAATGAAGACAAACAGCAAACGCGCAGAAAACATAACGAGCAGATGACGAGGAGAGGAATCAAAATAACGATATCAATAATAGCAGCAAATGAAACGATGGATACGAATGCAATATAATCGAATCAATCAAACGAAACATTTAATCTTTTACAGTTAAAAATTAAAACCTGACCTTTCCTTGGTTCTGCCCTTGTGTCCCTTCTCGGTAGATATTATATTCGGTAAGATCCATTATGTAATTGTTTTATTCCTATATTCGTCGTACCACATCACATACACATGGATTTCTCGTTTTGGCATAACCAGCCACATTTTACGCCGGATTGCTAATTCCCGACACAACCCTCCTCATTTTTCCGGGCTTGGGACCGGCACGAAAGGTTATTGACCAGAAAGTGCAGTGACTATCACCTTTCGAGGCTGAGTTTAAAAGAGAATCTCTTTAAGCCTGACTGCTTGAAGACTGTGCCATCGTTTCAGCTCCAAAAGCAACCAACTAAACAGCCGTCGGTATCTTTGACTAGAGCATATTTCAGCGTGGAAAACGGATCAGTTTTATCGAGACAAAGTTAACGTATTTGGATAAATATTTCAAACGAACAAACAGTCCACGCCTGAAATCAGTCAAAAGGTATTTTATTGTTTATTTTCCGCTCCTTCACCTTTTTATTTGTTGTTTGCAGACAATCAATGAAATGATCAAATAAATGAATCATTGAAACAATACTAATGATAATAGCAAATAAGTTCCGTAATTCATAATCAGGCAACGTATCGCACTGAAAGCAATCATTTCAACTCGTGATGAAGTTTGTCTATTCCCGCAAACCATTTCGGCAAAAACATGTCGTAAAATTGGCTCTATATTTGCAAGTGGAGAGTGCACATGGTCAACAACAACAGTACCAGTTGATGAGCACGAAAATAAAGCAGAACATCAACACGAAACTCTTCCATCAAATAATGACAGTCAAAATAACATTTACAATAACTTAACAACATAGCTAACCACTCACTTCAAACTGTCGCATAACTAATCATCACCTCGCCAGCTACTGCAAGCTGCTTCATATTCGATTCGATCCTAAACTGGCGCATCAATTGTTTCACCTACTTGTTTGTCTGTATATCCGCCGTCTGATTTAATCAAGTGCCCATCATCCATCATACTAGCAAGCCAGCCAACCACTAAACCACTTATTAGTTAAATCAACGAATGCATGATAATAACTAATAATAATACTAACAATAAAACGTTGAGTATCTCATGAAGTTGTGTTCTCTTCAGATTCATTCCTGTTCGCTTTCTTTCGCTGTCGCTGTTACTTTTGTTAATGTTCTTGTTTGTTTGTATTTTTTGTTACTGAATAATTTACAAAAATAAAATCCTTCACAGTCATTCAACCAAATAACCAACACTCACACTTTCTTCATTACCTCTCTTTCATGATTACCCATCTGTCTTGAAGGTACATTAAACCGAACCATTCATCACACCATAAGTAAAGAAACATATAGATAAAATAATAATAACAATAGTACAAATCTGTGATTTGCATATGTTTCATAACAAAAGTATTTCAACACATTACCCAAAACAACACAAAAACGTCTGTATTTTTAACGAAGCACAGTCAGAAAATCAAAGTACCGCTATATATAGCACCAAAAAGTAGAACCAGCAAGCAACCGTACTAATGATCAAATTTACAGCCACCAAAGAAACAAAAAAATAAGAAAGCAAAAACGAAGAAAAATAATAATAACCTAATTTAAAGCTAACAAAATCAAAAAAGAAAGCGAAAAATAAATAATAAATAATAATCACACTACTACTACCATCAAAAGTTAATAGTCGAAATAATGCAGAAAAAAACAAATAAAGAAGAGAATTTGTCAACACGGAATAAGAACAATAATAACCGAACTGACAGACCAACACTGAACCGGTTGTAATAGAGATCAAAATGATAAATGTTGGGAATTAATGCGTCAAGTGATAATGAAATAATGAGCAATTGAATAAACCAAGTAAAATTTAGAATTTGACGTACACATACATGTATATATTGTTATAAGAAAAATACTTTTCTTGCTGACATATAAGGATGAGAAATTCACAATATGTCACTTAGAACGAAAAATCTCACAGAACAAATCAGCCACTCTCACTAAAAATAAGCACACTTTAATGGTTGGAATGAAGAGTGGGGTGGAGGTGTTCATAATGATCATAATCATAAAAATTTCAATAATTAAAACAATTCTTAACGAGCAGAATAAGTGCGCTGCATTGGAGTGTCCAATACTGAACTCAGGTCAAACGAAACAAAAACTGCTGCTTACATATGCGCAATTGATCATTTGATGACAAGTCGAAATGAAGCAACACTTAATCATGTTGTTCATCAATACTCTCGTTAGAATCAAACTCACCAACATCGTTGTCGGAAATATCTAATTCGATTGACGGCTCCGTATCATATACGCTATGACTATTTTCTTCAGAACGCTCGTCTTCCAATTCTAGGATGGCCTGAAGGTCAGCATTATAAATTTAGTGACAATAGTAACAACAACAATAACAGTACTGCTAATAATAGTAACAATAATAGTAATAATAATAATAGTAATAATAATAATAATAATAATAGTGATAATAATAATAGAAATAATAATAATGGTAATAATAATAATAGTAATAATAATAATAATCATTATTATTATAACAATAATAATCGAGAAACAATATATAAAGTAACAAATATTAGTAATATGAATAGACAAAGGAAAAGTTGTATTACTTCCTCCTTGATGCTTTCGAGTTGTTGCATTCTCAAACGTTGTTCATCAGTAACAGCGTGCATCCTTACATGAGTCGGTACGCAATCACCGCTCTCCGGATGAATTTCAACGGCCTGTCCGCCGAACTGAATCTGTGGCATAACGATATTGGGCATGAAACGATGACGACTGCCCAGTAGAGCGCCACTGACTGCTTCAGATAAGCGGTTTGGAAGTCGGACTCTAACGAGAGCATGACGAGCTAAATTAGTTGGTGATCTCAACACACTGCCCATCTGCGAACGAGTAATCGTAGGAATCTGTCTGGAATCTCCAGATTCATCTTCGGACAGATGAGGTAACGTATCAAACGTATTACTTCCATCATCATGCGCACCCAACAGGCCACGATAATTGCTAGCAATAAAATTGTCGTTATGTGCGAAATACATTCTGATTGTCCCGTTGTCATCACGTAGTCTCATTCCAGGTTGCAATGTAGCATTATTATTATTATCTGTATGAACATTATTTTCGGCTCGACTCAAAACGCTTTCATCACTATTGGTATTATTATTATCCATTGGCGAATGTTCACTTCTTGCGGTCGACAAACCCTCATCGATGATCATTTTATCGACATTTCCAAATGAATCTAAAACCATAATTGAACGCAGTCAAATTTTTATTTGCTTTCCTCATTTACACATATCCACCATGCCCTAGTCACGATACAACCCTTCACTACATCATCGCTTCGTCAATCTGCATTCAACAACGAGCAATCAATTGCACACTTGGGCTCAGATACATGTTTAGGCTCGAGACCAGTCTAATTTCTGGATGAGCATTCATTTCAGTTTTAAAGACGCAAATGGAAGATAGAGCGATCTAAAGATGTTTAAGTACCTAGCCATTTGCAAATGCAACCTGCTCCGATTCTGTAAAGATCTATAATAGTATAAATTCATTATTCTCTCGACAGCAATAGATAACACCTTGCTCTAAAAATATTCGCAAAGAAAACGGAACCGAAGCAGTCAATCGAATAAATCGGACTTAGGATCAACTGATACTGCTACTCTGTAATGCCAATTAAGTGGATATGATAATAACGCTTTAAATAAGCAACTAAGTCCACCAATGAACGAATAAACACAAAAAGAACTAAACAAATGAATGATCACTCAAAATATTACCTCTTCTATCAGCCATAATTACTTATTCAAAAACAATCCAAAACAAACACAATCACCGAATAAACCTCTCGTCCTTCAAGAAATCAAATATTCATGATGATCGTCATAATAAAAACACGATTTTACTGACGTATACACTGATATCAGTATGAGCAAAAAAATTCAGGTCTACAATTGTTGTTATTTTCAGTTTTATACGATCGCATTGAATCAACTAGAATATTGAATAAATCATTCTTTTAAATGATTGGGATATTCAGCGTTCTACTACTATTACTGGCTGATGCACTCTGATTTTATATATCTTTACTAACTCATCCCATGAAACAAAATATCGTTAAATGTTCATTTGTTCTCGCGTGTTTCGTAACGTTTTTTCCAGTTCAGTAGATCAGGTGGGTTATTTTGTCGTTTCTTTGATAAATAAGGGTAATGATGAGGCATTAGGATAACTAAGCTTCTTAATGCATAATAAATATCGATAAATAAGAACAAATTTTCTTGGAACATAGCTTTCCAGTGGGAACACTTTTATTTGTCGGAATAATCGATACGATATGAAAGATACGTATCGACTCAACGAGAAAATACCGCAAATAGCTGAGATGTTTTTATATCTCTCACCTCAATGTTTCTTACTAAAATGACAACTGAATCAATTCATTTCAATACACATATTCTCACTTTTGACTGTACCAATTATCCATCCACCAGACCAAATTTGTTTATCACAAAGATTAAATTTGTTTATCACAAAGATCAAATTTGTAACCATCTACTAGATCGAATTTGTTTACCAATGAATAAAAAAGTCACGCTCTCACAATATTCATATATTGATAGCACTACTTATCATACGCATACAACTTAATATATTCATACAACGTTAACGTGCAGTGCGTGTGTTTGTCGAGTCAACCGTAATGAAAATAAATTAATAAGCATACAAAAAACAAACCAAACCGTCTCATCTACCCAAAACCATTCGATTACTAATTGAACTTATTGGCTTCGTGCAATATTCATCAAACAAACAAACGAATCAATTCATTAATCATCGCTCCAAAAGACTGTGCATAATCAAGATCTTCCTCTCAACATACCCATTAAATTACCCAATCGAATCGAATCCACCTAATCAACGCAAACCCATCCTGCAACACCTACGGCATTAATAATCACAAATATTATGAACGCAATTTATCGCAATCATACTATCATTATTATATTATATTATCACAATAAAAGAGAACAATAATGATAATGATAACACTTACAATGATAATCAATAAATAACAGTATGTATTACAAATCAACGATTTGCATATGAATAATGACATCATCATAATATTTGCTCACTCTTTAAGCAAAATATCCCTTTTTCTTAAGACTTAAAAAAAACTCATCTCATTACATTAACGATAATAATAATATGTAACAATAATGAGAGTAAAAGAATGATTTCAAAAGATCATAATCACAATTCAGACAGCAACGAGTCGACAAAGACAATGGCCGAAACAACACATTCATTAAATCGTTTCATAATAAACGTATTAATGAATCAACGAGTCAAACTCATCTTTACTTCGTTCTGCAGCCTTCACTTTCCCCTATACTATCTCCTAAAAGCGCATCCTTTCCTTCAGAAAAGCGAACAATCCATCTCCAATGACCACAACAACAGCAACATCACTCCATTGTATCCCAACAACAATAATAACAATAACGATTATTATCATTATAAGAATAAATGAACGAACCAACAAATACTTGAACAGATCGACAGACAAATGAACGATCGATTAACAAAAAATAATCACTAGAAGTGACGATGATATGAATTTGGCATTTACGTGCTTGCTTACAATCGAGAGGCAATCGAACCATTTTTGAGCGATGCAAAAACATCTAAAACAAGGAGGACAAAAATGACGGAGATTTCAAGATAGGAGTATGAAACGAGGTGGAGGAAAACTGAAGATGTGGGGAGGTGACAGCAAACCAATTTAGGAAAAACCTACCTAGATATGTTGTAGGGGAAGAAAGTATGCGTTATAAATGGATACAGATAAATAGCTCAGATAGACTTTTTTTCCGATAGATCATATTCAGATATAATAATAACAATATTGGTATAATATAATAATAACGCTATGTCGAATAATGTTTCAGTCTTCATCCTCCAATTTCAAATCCTCTAGATTTATATCCGCATCATCAAGATTCAGTTCACCCTCATCATCACTCCACTGTATCCCACTTTCGGCATCTTGCACTACCTGAAAACCAACTGCAAACTTCAAATATTCGACAACGAAAAAAAACAAAAGTAATCAGTAACAGACCGAAACAAAAAAATTATGACTAAAAAAGAAATCGGCATTAGCAATATTGACAATAATAATATCAATAATTCTTTACTTTTTGAAAAAAAGATAGATCCTATGCGAATTATCTAGATCTGGCTGATAAACTGAAAGAACGAAATGAGAAAAAGACCTGAGGGTGTGATGAATCAGCACGACCGACCACGTCAGGTCCTCCAGATGATGGTACGATGTCAGGTCGAGTGCGTTCTTGCTGATTAGCTGCCAGTAAGTCTGGATCCATGGTCGTCTTGAAACGAAAACGAATTAACAAATAAATAACTTTGTATACTCACCCATTTTTCAAAATAATATAATACCAAATCGATAATATTCATCGCAATGCCTTCCAATCTAATTCCTAAACAAACTAACATTTTCTCACTGAACTTCTAAATAACAAATTGAACAATTGCGTTATACCGAAACATTTTTTTTGTTTAGTTCCCCCTGTTCATAGATGCATAAAATAAAGAAATTACATAACTACTAACTCGTAGCGCTTGTTGCTGTGAGTGTGCGATTCTTATTTGCTGAACAGATGGCTCGTGCTTGTGTTGTTGAGCTTCTTTTGACTTACTAGCAACACCGTTATTCTCAGCACCACCTAAATCCAACAATAAATCACCATCATCTTCACCACTCTGCACTCCTCTTGCAGCTGCAGTCACAGCCGTCTGTGGTCGACTCATCGCAGTACCACTACCACCATCCATATCATCTTCAACCGCAACATGCTGATCCAGATCACGATCAGCACGCTGCAAACGTCTCTGTTGCTGAAGTCTGATGCTCGCTGAATGATCTGCAGACGTTGTCGACGCGGTGGTTGTGAATGTGGATCCATCTGAATGCGTTGAATCGTATGTGTTCGACGTCAGAAGTGACGACAGATCCGAAACGGCCGAATCGACCACTGACAACGGATTCTGTGAGGGTGGTGGTGAGAGCGAACGACCCGTCGACGACACATCTGAGACTGGAATTAGCGGTCTAATGACTGGTCCCGACGATTCAGTTGTCGACGAAACGTACGCAGAATCGTTAGATCGCGACGTGGTGGTATCGGTCGCTATCGTACTGCTAATCGCATTATCACTCACAGTTCCATAAGTGACCCGCAACGAATTAAAATCTTCCTCATCATTATTGTCACTATCACGCTGTTGCTGCAGCAACACTTGTTGATGTTCACCATTATGCATATTATAAACATGATTATTCGCAGTCATCTGCCCCTTTACTTCACCATTCAACAACGCCATTCCATTCTCATCGAATCTTAATGCACCTAAAACCACTGATTATTCATGCTCATTTCTCATCAAAAACTTCTATTCGTAAACACTGATAAAACAAAACATTTAGTACACGTGTTCTGTGCAAAAAACAACGAATCGACCAAATCAAAATCCGACCAGATTTTTCGGCCTCAGCCATTTCCTCTAAAATGTTGCGTTGCGCATTGGTTGGTGCTTGTGCAGATGCTGGAATTGGCAGTTGTGAGAGCTGTTTCAAGAACTGTTCGGCCTTCAACGACTCCGCGAAGCCCGGGAAAAGATTCTCGTACGTTTGTGGATCGGCCAAACTTTCACCAACATTCTGCAGTAAAATCAACTGAATCGATTTTTTTTCGGCGGGTAAGTTTGGAATAGCAACAATAACAAAGTATTAACACAAAAAATATCATGAAAGCTACAAACCTTTTGTCCTAAGAGAAGACCATTCGACGACTTTTCTTTCCACAAAGAAATCACACGATTCACCTAAACAATAAAAGAAAGCAATAACATTTAAAAAAAAAATTGTCAGCATCGATAATATACTATTTGCAGCATTGAAACGAACAATAAAAAATATTAACCTGACTAGGACAATAAGTTCTAGCGAAGAAGGCAGCCTCAGGGAGACGTTGGGTGCTGATGAGCACGTCAAGGCACTTGTTTACATCACCCAACAAGAAATACGATAGGAATGCAACGTTATTCTTTGATTGCGACAGCGAATCATCTGCCAATTTCGACAACTAAAATAAAATAACAATAACAAATAAGCAATAATAAAAACATCAATAGTAATAATAAAATAATAATAATAATAATGAACAAAAGTTCACCAACGGTGCTGAACCAGCTGACGTGGCCAATAGTAGAAGGCCACCAAAATCACGTGCTCGTGCCAGGCACTGTGCGGCTAACATGAGTTCACTTTTGAGTGTGGCCGCTTGAGATAGTTGACTCCATTTTTCCTCACTATCGGCGACGATGGCTAATTCATAAGCCAACTTTAACTCGCCCAAAGAGAGCGCCAACTCGAAACGATGCTCTGCATCTTGACTCACCGCCAACGCCTGCTTTTTAAAGCCTTGCTTCTCCAGAAAATGAGCCACTCGTGTGCGTTGATCACGTGGTATTGTCGGCAATACCTGCAACTCGTTTAGCATCAATCGCATTACTATTTTGCTCACAGTTTATTGTCACTATCAGTATCATCATTATTCTCGCAATAATCAATACTATTAACAATAAAAATACCAATAACAAAACCCAATTCAAAATCATTACCCACCTTATCAGCCGTATCAAAGTCTCGTCGCATCACAGCCGTTTGATATTCAAGGACCGATAACAGTAAACGATACGACACGAAATTATGATCTTTGTCACACAGATACAATCGACTTTCTTTTGGCATATAACCCAACTGAAAATACGAATGAATGAAATTAAATCGCATAAGTCAATGAACAACTGAACCAACCAAATAAAGTGGTCTATCCAAATGAGCGATTGTCACAATTTCACCGCCGACATAATAATTCAGACGTTTCAAATTCGTCGTGAATATGAAACAATCGCCGACCCATATCGCCGTTTTAACGTTCTCTTGTTGTTCAGCTTGAATTAATTACGTTAATTACTACACAATTTTATTATTGGCCGTGTGGAAAGAATATTAACAATACTAATAACCTACCACAAACTTCGAAGGCATCCTCAATTCCATCAGCCGTTATGTCCTCTCGATTTGCCTGTTCGACCGCGTTGCGATTATATTTCAGAATATAAAACGAATCCTCGCCCGTTATTGCAACCTTGAAAAAAGATAATTTATCATCAAATTAACTTCGAGAAGCGATAATTTTAATTAACAGTGAACGTTACCATTTCACCATTATCCGACCAATAGACGTGTTTTGCAGCAATCTCAATACGTCTCACCAATGAGCCCGATTCCCAGTCGTAGAAACACAGTGAGGATGCACCACGAGCTGCCACTAATGGACCTCCTTCTATACCTTCCATAGCGATATCTGGACGCAGTGTGCACGATTCCTATCAATGCACATTATCATTAATCACAATAATCACCACTACCAATTCGTTATCTTACCTTGAAATTTTTGTAAAGCTTCACTGAAGTGGCTGACTCACGGACCGCATACTCGTTAGGATCTGAACTCCAAACAAATTCCAAACCAGGGCCGAATGCCTACAATAAATTTTTTTCAATCCGAAGGAAAACTGGCACAATAAACCACTCACAAACAACATTGTACTGAAGTAAAAGCAGTACGAATAGTACCTTTAAAATGTACATTCAATTATTAGTTGAGAACAACCGACAATGACAAGTCAATGAAGTTTCGAATAAAGTGGTGAATAAATCAAACCTTATTACGCAACGCCATTGCCGTATAGACAATATACTCACCATCACCACAAGCCACCACGAAACGTCCATTTGAATTATGTGCCAACGTTTGTGGATAGATCTCACATGAACCCATATCTTTCACTGATAGCGACAGACGTTCACCATCTACATAAAAAATTATGTGATTGAAACAATAAAAACAAACATGCATTTTCAAGACTTGAATAGAATATCAACATCAATATAAACATTCTCAAGACCTATCAAAAAACAAACCTCGTGCATTCTCAAGAATGCTTGAATCAATCGTTTTCAAATTTGCCTGCTGCATTTCCGAATGCTTCGCCCAGAGTATTTTCCCACTTCCATCCATGCTAACCGCAGGCTCCTCACGACCCAACTTCACTGTTACTGCACCTTCGTCGTAACCAATAGCGATCGTATTCGACCCTTTCAATGCGTGAATACACCAAACACGTTCCAAACCGTAATTTAACGTTGTTTCAAGCCTTCAACAACACTGATAAAGATTAACCATAAAAATAACAACAACATGACAATAACAATGAATAATAATAACACAGTGCAAAAGCTAATAAAAGTGCTTGCCTATATGTGCTTGAATGCCATAATCTGACCGTTGAATCCTCTGAGCCTGTGATAATTACTGGTAATTCGGGATGGAAACAAACCGCCGAAACGTTTTGTGCATGACCGTCGAGTGTTGCCACACAAGTCTTATTTTGATAATCCCAAATTTTCACAAGTCGATCATCTGCACCCGAGATCAAATAAGGCTTATCGCCACCATGATAATAATCCACACAATTCACACCTTTCTCGTGGCCTTCTAGTGTGAAATTCGCAGAACTACTACCGAATTGCCACACTTTCACGGTTCGATCCAGCGAGGCCGTTGCAAACGTGTTATTGTCTTTCGGATTTATCACTAACTGCATCACATAATGCGTATGACCTTCAATTATTATGTGAATTCATATCACTACCATTACATAATTAATGACCAATGACACATTTGAACAAAATCACACTTCGTTCTAAACAATCACTAACAAGCGCATATTCAACTGAAAACAAATGCTGACCAACCCTCGAAAGCCTGTTTCATTGTCCATTTGTTATCCCAATCCCATAGTTTAATTTGCATATCATCCGACGACGTCAAAATGAACGGTTCTTTTGGATGAACGGCGATTGAACGTAAATAATCCGAATGCGCCTCAAACTGATGCACCCGTTCGAGTGTATTGTAATTGAACACTCGTACGTTCATATCGTCCGAGCCAGTCACCACCCAATTCTTACGAGCCACAAATTTTGCACAACGTACCGGCGCATCACATACCTTCAAAATTCATTGTATACAACCCGTCAACAAAACGTTAATAAGAACGTAAAACAATCAAATCTTTTATACTCACTTCAAATGATTTAACAAGCTGTTGATTTTCATAGTTCCATATGTGCACATTACCATTATACAATGAAACTAGCATCCACGTTTCACTGGGATGCAAATCCACACATTTGACACGATCTGAACGTGCCAACAGCTTTCTTTTAACGTCCAGTCTTAAAGGCATTTCGTTCCCCTGAAACAAATTAATTTGATAAGATCAATTCATTGTGCAAGAGTATCTCATTTTCGGCACATACGTTCCGATGAAGAACACTTGATCAGTGACGAAGAAAGGTGGAAGAGAGAAGTAAGTTTGCGGGCTGGAAAATGGACAGGAGCAAGGGTTTTGATATCCATCAAAGTACACTTCATGGAAAACAAATAACATTCGTTCGTAACTGCTGCACTAGATACCACCTTGAGCTTATTCGAAGTGCAATTGTGGGAACAAGTTTAGCTTATATAAGAAGGAATTTCGCTTCCTGTAATCAGAAGTTCATCACTGAAAAGCGGAATAAAACTGAAGAAGCTCAATATAGCGGGGTGGAGTGCTGATCAAAAGTCCTTGAACGTAAACACCATTAAACGAAAAAGGAAAATGTGTGCAACAAATCAAACGAAAATTAACGACAAATTATAATTCCAAAATAAAAAACACCGCAACGATTGCAAACACACCTCCAACTAATACTGTTACTGGCTCTACTGGACACAATGGAAAACATGCATGAACCGTTAAAAAAATCCACAACTAACGATGGTCATAAAGAGCAAATAATACCAACAATGATAAATGCACAAAGCATAAAAATTTGACACGTGTAAAGAGTTATAAAATGATCTGGAATCTATTGAATCAAATGCAATGCATACACATTAGAGTGCAGCAATCTGTAAATCTCGTACGGAACAACTTCAGATATACCAAATAGAAATACGCCCCAGTTTTGAGTCTGGTTTGCTATCAGGCTTGAGTTTACGCTGGCACTTCACCTCAGTGCTATATTCAAGCTTTTAAAGGTCTATAAATACCCGTGATTGGTAATCACCCACCTGTACGAGATTTATAGGTGCATTGATGAGCGTTTAGAGATGTGGTGTCTGCAATTGCACTCACCTCTCACACTACGTATGCAAGATGCGTGATGCAGACAGCTAAATAGTCAAACGAGTCGGTTAATCGAGCAAAATTCGTAGTTCGCAATAGTTACATGCTGTCATTTTGTGTTGCTTCGGGATCGAACATTCTGAATCTCGTTTGCGTTCAAATTATAAAACCCCGCGAACGCACATTCATAAATTTATTATTATTACTGTTCAATGACGATTGTTACTAGTATATAAAGACATACATACTGACAAAATATGAACATAAATGGATGCTATAAGCTTGATGTGTACCTCAGCTTAAACGAGATGAAAATTTTTAAACTGAATAAATGAATATTTACATTTATCAAAATAAAATTACTAAATAATTGAATGAAATTTCTATTTGCTTGTTTTAAAAAAATTATGTGAAGAGAACAGCGGACAAACGACTAATATTAGGGACCACTTGAATAAATTTTTATGCAGAATGTTTTTTGCAGAACTTTTTGCCACTCTTTCTTGCTTCTAATTTAAAATCAACGACATAACAGTTAGAATGATAATTGCAATACTAGTACTAATAAATAATAATACATAACAATAATGCGAAATAAAAGAATATTAATATTCAACATCACCCATATCCAACCAATCCCCTGTGAATAAAATAATGTCTAGAATCAATTTTTATCGCAACCCAATCAATTTTTATCGCAACTTCTACATGACTCAACTTCATTCGTTAGTTGATTCCAGCAATGCACTCTGCTTATTAAAACTTGTTTTTGCCACCCTCTCCGACTTTACATGGTCACAATTATCATTACATCTACCACTGTTTTATTACCAATATCATCCTGCTACTGGCCGAACGAAAATGAGGTATAATCGAGTAAATTTGAACACAACCATGAATAGTACAACTATTGTCATCATCATTATATCTATTCACCAAAGAATACGCATGAATAGCACCCATTTATCCATTTCTGTTTCCCCATTTACTTATTACTCGATATCCTTCACTCTCCAGCATTCGCTCGTCTCGTACAAGTCAGTGTTGCTTACAGTAAGCGAATCTGAGCAATTAAGATCGTATCAGATCAACTCAAATTGAAGCAATAGTTTCATTCATACCATTACTTAATCTGTCCAGTAGCAATTTCATTATATTTCTTCAAATTCTCAATCGCAAATCCTCCTGAACTCTGCTGAATCCTGGCGATAGTCAAATAAAAATCAAATGCAAATAAATGAATTTAAGCAGAGATCAAATCATCTCAATAAAATTAAATGTGAATAATTCACTTTCTGCTTGATCGTCTCAATTCGAACAGCTGAGTTTAAATTAAATTATTACGTTCTTGCAATCATTACGTTTTTCTTAGACACCAGTGCGGTGCAAGGTTGTTCTTAGCCTAGAGCTTTTAAGCGGACGCCTAGAACAATCTTAACATCAAATCCATACCTAAAGTTTCTCAGAGGGATGACTAAATCTCAAAAAATCTCGAATAGATGTATAGGTAAGTAGGTGGATACATGGATGGGATTGATACGGATGGATGGATGAGCTAGGATCTGTGTATGAAATTTTTAATCAACGAATGGAATCGAATCATTCAGACGAATTGTAAGGATTCATTTGATAGTGACATAATATCTCAGCCATAATCCTATCATTTTGATTTTCACTTAAATATTCACTACATTTATTTCATAAACTGCTTTAGATACACACATGTTATATGCACTATATATTATATAAACTCATCCTATTTTAGAGCCAATTAAAAACCTTACTTTCATGTGCATACTGATAATAACATAGCAATTTAAAATTCATAAATCTATCATAGTGTTTCACATATCGTGAGACTTTATTCAATATAAACATGCCCAATAAGGTTATCTTCAATAACGTTTCGTGACATATCAAAACGATTCACTTTTATCACATTAAAGATCATTTCTAATCCTCAGTACGAATCTATGTAATTTTACTCTCTATATCACACTAATTAAACTTCGAATCCAAATGATTCTATATCTCATCACATTCATTTCATTTTGTCTCCATTAATATTCCTCATCTCCAAATCGTATTTCTCCAGCATTTCACACTGCTCACCGCCCCCGCCCAATTCTATGACAACTGGGCCGATCCAGACCGAGTCCATTCTTAAATTTCTTTCCTCGAACAAACCCTTCATCCCTTCTCTTGTGTACGTCCAGACGGCTCATAGCAGAACTATACCCTGCGGAATTTTCATGAGGAGAAGCCTGTTCATAGCTACACTCCAATATCCACTATTCTGATATTTTACCGGTGTGCATTAGTATGATTATTATTGTTATCATTAGTATAATTATAGTATAACTTATTTATGTGAATGAACTTTCTAGATATAAAAAGATAGATTCTTGAAACGCAATTCAAGAGCAATGGATGAGAGATAGACAGACGATAATTTTAATGTGTCATAAAATATTATTATGATCACTGTTTAATTGCGTTTTAAAAGTTATTTCGATATGGCTTATTCCCCGTTTGTTCATGTTTATGTGTAATTATTCATATGCATATTTATAATAATAACAGTAATAATAATAATAATAACAATAATAGTGGTAATAACAATAACAGTAACAATAATAATCTTGAAGATATTTTCAATAATATCATATTGTTATTATTATAACTATTGTTAGTGTTATTGCTATTATTATTATTCATCTAATGAATGCTAGCTTATATAAAATATGATACTGAATAATTCTCGTACAAAATTTTAAGAATTTCAAGGAGACAGTAAAATGGCATATAAATGAGTATTTATGCATCATTTTATGAATGCATAATTTTATCACCTCAACGCAAGCATAAACACAATCATTATTATCTGATGTTAAAGGCATACAGATGAACTCAGTTATCAGGAAGGCACACAGACTATTTAGGGAAGCAGTTATTCAATAAAAATTGTTTGTTTGTTTGTCTCGTGTCCATTCAAAACAAGTCAAGTCAAGCCTAACTAAAAACATGATATAATCCCGTCTAGTTCGGTTCGTTACGTTTATCCTTGTATGCTTATCTTTATCCCCGTTTATCCCTCATCTCCCGCTATTATTCTCAGCTGATTGGCCAATATCAACTCGCGTGGACCTCCTCCTTATTAGATAATTGAGTCCGTTAGCTAGCTAGCTCAATTATATTGTACTAATGAAGCTACAGCACCACCAACACCAGCATGTAATGCTAATTTCATTCATTTACACCTTCAATTTCATTCAATTACACCTTCATTTATCTATTCTGATCTATTGCCGTTCTCATTCAATTCTGCTTTTATTCGATCATTATTATCTTAACCGACAAATATTCAATTTTTAAAAATTTCCGCTCAAACAAAAAATTCATCGATCCATTTCTCGATAGATTTATAGAAAGTTATTCATTCTGCTGTTCTCCTTCCTTTCATTCGTTTATTCAAGTACTTATTCGTTACTCTCATTCATATTTTCAATAATCAACAAAAACTGTTCCTCGTCTCAGCCACGATTTCTCACAAAAAAACGAGGATTTTAAAACTCTTCTGCATCTCACAAGTACTTTTCACCACTCCACTCTCCTTCGTAGCACATGCCACATTTACAATGCTTACCACCGCTACAAATGTTTGTTTATTTCAAAATTCAGCCGATTCTCTTCCGTTCCATTATTTTACATAACATTTATGCGCACACACACAAAATACAAATACATGAACAAAAAGTCACCATTGCTTTATAAATTTATGAATTATCTTGTGTCGAATCATCCATTCATTATTTCACCTCACTTCAACGCTCCACTCTCTCCTCCTCAGCCAATTAATCGTCAAATATTCGAAACCTAAGTAATTCCCCATTCAACATTTCGAATGTTCAATGTTCATTTCATTCCTTTCTGCACTTATTTGCTTCACAAGTATGCGTATATTATTTATACAAAAAAAAACCAAACAAATGATGAAAGAAATTTTAATGATGTGTGCGGCATCTAATTTACTGCAAAGTTAATGGCATACACCCAGTACACGGACTTGGTTAGTG